TGTCTGTGTGTCTGTCTCTGTCTTTTTGAGACAAGGGTCTCACTGTGCACTTCAGGCTGCCCTTGAGCTCCCTTTGTAGCCTACGCTGGTTTTGAACTCACAACCCTCCTGTCTCAGCCTGAGTACTGGGTCTAGACATGCATCACAACATTCAGCCTAAAATACTGTTCTCTTTCACTCTCCCACCACATGTTTGGGGCAGCCTGATAGAAACGGTGCCCTCCGCCCCACAGGTCTTCCCACCGAGGCTGGGCAAAGCACCTGACATCTTTTCATTGAACTCATTCATGTCTGAGTTTTAACAATGCAGTATTCATGGGTCTATGACAAAGCAATACAACTCACCCAACTTTTGTATAGTAGCGTCACAATAAACAGACACAGACTGAGGAAACCTGTACCAAAGAAGGATATTACTAACGCTCTGTGGACTGTATCTAATCACAGGATAAGTCACAACCCACTAGCTGCTTACTGGTCTTACACTTCGCTTGTTGCTACCTCCCTGGTAAATCGATGAGCGGGGCTCTGCTGCTGACCTCAGTCACTGAGCACTGGACTGGAGCTAAGAGGGGGCAGGACGGAGATGCCCCGGACACACAGAGCTCCAGTCTCAAGCAAACTGGGTCCAGCAGCTGCCTCTTCATAGAGCAACAATAAATACAGTTTTGCCCTTTGTCTGGCTTATAAAAAGGTAAATAACAGGTTCAAGTTTACACAACTAGTTAATGGCAAAGAGGGGAAGGACACGTGCCTCATATTGACTGGACTCTATTTGTGTATTTATTTTAGGAAATACTTATTTAGCAGTGGCTGCTAACCTTTTAGTATCTCTTTATTTATTGGTACTGGGAATTGAACTCACAGCGTGGCACCTGCCAGGCAGGTGCTATGTCACTGAGCTAGATCCCTGGCCATTTTTGCTTGGTTTGGTTCAGTTTTTGGTACCAGAACTCGAACTCAAAACCTTGCACCTGTCAGGCAGGCCCTGTGCCACTGAGCTCTGTCAAGTGACTGACAATTTCTTGCCGCGCTAGCCAATGTGGCAGCCGATAGCCACAAGGGCTGCTGGGCATTTAATACAGGCTGATCCAACGGGAAATGCCCTGTGTAAGTGCGAGACTTAATAAGCGGAAAAGGAGGAAACATCTTATTGGTATTCTGTATTGATTACATCTGTAAATGGCTACTGGCTTCCCTTTACCTTTGAGTTTTTGGGTTTTTTGTTTTTGTTTTGTTTTTTTTGTGGTCTTTTAGTGGGTTTATATTGGGTTACAGAAAATATATTCTTGAACTTTATCTCACCTGTTTCCTTTACTTTCTCTCATGTGACTTGTAGGACATTGTAAAATATGCCCGCGGCACACACATGTTCCTTCACTGGGCAGTGCTGTTCCACCACAGAGTACTTCACTGCACTAAATACAGAGCCACAAGGACTCTCTTTTCAGAATTTACAGTGGTAACAGCAAAGCGAATATTTGAGCATTTATTCCCAGTACTTTATAGACTTCTGACCTGGTAAACAAGAGGGGGCTTGTGTGTCCCATGAATGAGACAAACACATTATTTGAAAGGAATTAAAAAATTTAACCTCACGTATGCATGCATGTGGCAGTATATTTAACTTTTAAGAGAACACCAGCAATTTAACAACACAAAAACCTTCATCTTCTCTTTTGATTAAGGACAGCTGTTTTCCTGGAGAAATTACAGTCAAAACCAATTAATATCACAGAAATCAGTTCAACCCTGAAAGAGACATCTGTCCACAGTCAATACTGCAACCAGAGAGACAGAAGATGGTGGGCAGTGCCAGTCCCCTCCTGAGTGACAACAGGAAGAAGGCGCTGGCTGAGCTACAACTTAGAGGCCAGCACTTCTTCTCTCTCAAAATCACCAGGCAACCCCTCCTCTCAGGAAACTAATCGCTCCTCTTTGCCACAAGAAATTCTTAGGTGCAAAAATGTGTGGCATTCATTTGGGGAAAATGATGCTTCTGCCTCAAAATCAGTAGGTTAACTTTCAGCACCTCAACCATGGCACCAAAATGAGAGGAAGGAAAAATGTGTTTTTACCATCATGGTACAATTTCTGATGAAAGAGCCCTCATTATTTTTCAAACACTTCCACTGGTGAAGATGTGCACCGTGCACTGCTGAACTAATCCGTTTCTAATGGAGCCAGGCTCCGAGCACTGTGTAGGGCAGGGACCGACCCCCCCAGAGGGTGGAGAGCCGCCCTCGCCTTCGGCTGAAATGGCTCTGCTGCAGCCGCTGAGAAGTACCTGTGTGTGGTCTGAGTCTCTTCTTAGGAAAAAACTCTATTAAAGCAGTAATAATGGATTCTGGAGGCTTCCGGCATTAACCCTCCACCCGTAATTCCTGTGTGCAGGGTGAGTGGGGAGTGCTCTGCTCTTTGGGAGAGACAGCAATCGCCCCTCTCTTCCCACTTCTTCCCTACATCCACGGGGATGCAGCCCTAGAACCGGGTAAACGCCATCCACCCAACTGGACGCCAAGGTCCCCTTGCTACCCTGTCTCCTACTTCCTAGGATGCACTGGGGTGGGTCTTCCTGCTCCCTTACATCCAGGGATGGTATGGCTAGAATTGGGCACAATTTGTAATTTCAGGCAATAACATCAAATAAATAGTACGATTTCCTTACAAATCTGTTGAATTTATCTAATTTTATTCTCCTCTTGTCTCTCCCTCCCACTCTACCTCTTCAGATCCAAACCTTATTGGAAAAGAAGCGCATTTGGACTGGCTTGGATGGAAAATACCTTGGCCTTTTTATTGTTACCTAGAAAATATCCCTGAAAAATAATGTTTTCAAAGTTATTTTTAAAGCCAACCCAGAAAAGTTCCGATGTGCTAGGCTAGATGCCCACAGCAGGGCGAGTCCGTTGGAGAGACAGCCAGGGCCGCGGTGTGAAATTCCTCCGGAGCTGCAGGCTGTGTCACCGTGCGGGACCCAATTCCACCGCGGTGCGCCACACTGCGCCTCTCCACTCGGGATGGGCTGGCGATCCCCAGCTTCTAGCTTAAAGTCTCTCCAGCTCCCCAGAGAACGCGAATCCGAGTTCTACGGGGAAGGAGCACCTGGGAAACACAAGAGGCGTGGAGCCCCGGACGTGGGAGCCGCGGCGAAGACAGAGGCTCCGGGAACCCCGAGCCGGGGGAAGCCGGGCTGGAGGAGTGCAGGGCGCGGAGCCGCTGCAAGCAGCTCGCGTCGGGCTCCCTGCGGACCACCACTCTGCGTGACTCCGTCGTAATCCATCACACCCACTCCCACGCCCCCGGAATCACACGCAACCACAGACCCCTGCCCGCTGCGCTCCTGCTGGAAAGCACGCCTAGGGACGAGGAAGAGCCGGGGTTCGCCTCCTCCGAGCACGCTCTGCGGGAGACCAGCGCGCGCCCACCCGCCCCGAGGACTGGAGCGCCGCGGGGACCCGGGCGGCCGCCCGGCCTCGCCACATGCGCACGCAGCCGCGGCCCGCGACCCGAAGGCCGTTACCTGGGAAGACCGCGCGGCTCGCTCGCTCCGCTGGCTCGCTCGCGCAGGACC